TTCAGGTATTAAAGTCACTCAGGGAACTTTTCACAGCATCTCCGATAGCCTACTTCTGCACATCCTGATGTCACTGGACTGCAGCGGGGCCTGGGCATCACTGTTTCTAGTGACTCCTCAGGGACCGTAATGTGAGTCAGATGCACCACCAGGATAGAGAAGCACAGCTCCTGGACCACACCCACCACCGAATGAATCTGCTGAAAACTGAACTTGAACCAAGATACTTACCTGCTCAGGATCTTGCATCACAACACACTCACACTCACACGCGCACACACATCCACTCACATACACATACACACTCTTGCTCACCTTCATGCATTCACATATATATACACACACTCACACTCGCATGAATACACACATGCACTTTTTACTCTTGCACATACACACACACACACATTTTCCTACAGTATCAACTCCAGGATCCTTGTCAGAGCACCCAAGAGTTTTCAGGAGTAGATCCCAACTGGTCTCTGCAGACTTGTCCCTGACACCACACCACACTTCCTCTTGCCCCAACACTTCAGTCATGCATGGCTGCTGTCCACTGAGCCCAGGCTGCTCATAGCTCTGGGCTTTGTCTCTGCTGGGAAAGTCCTTCCACATTTCATCTGGCCCAGCTCATAGCTGCTTCACCCGCATTTTTAAACAGCTTGCCTCTGACCTCCTCCAAGGCAGTAACACTCTCCTTATGCTACCTTTTGTTAAGCACTCCCTGAGCGAAAGGATCTAAACCTCACTGATTCTCAAAGCTACACAGTGAGGGAAGTACTGGCTACTCCCAATTTACAGATGGGGGAATAAAGCCAACAACAGACAGAGCCAGAATTCAAACTCAGATCTACCAGGCTTATAGGTCAGCTCCAGGGTACCCTCCTGAAGAGGGGTCTCAAATTCACAGGCACCAGGCTTAACCACCTGACCCCTGAGAACAGGCTTTTTGGGCCCTCATATACAGATTCTACAGAGGCACCTGGCCAACGGAGCATGGGGACAAGAGAGACCAGCCACCCTTGCTAGCCAACCTGGTCCCCTCAGGTCTGCTTCCTTCCAGAAGGCGCCCCTTTTTCTAGCTGTCCTAGATACAGTCCCTTAATGCCTTCTATGATGTCTGCTCCTCTAATTTCTTCACTGCCTTGTACAGAGAGGATCCATTCTGAAGCGCATCCCAGCACAAATACCGGAGGCTGTCAGGGACGTGTCAAACAATACTCCAAGGCTTCAGACACTGAGATCAATCCCGCCCTCGTCTTTAATTAATTCTCTCATCCTCTTTATGTTTAACACAGAGTCTGTTCCTCAAATTAGTTCATTCGTCTCTGTAAGAGAGGATTTCCAGAGATGTGGATTTTAAACAAATCTTCACTTTTGTCATTATAAGTATGTGATGAGAGCTTTCCACTTGAGCTCGATTATAATACCAAGTGGTCCTTGTCCCTCAAAACTGGCCTTGGGAATTATAAATGGCTTCCTGCTGAGCTGCAGGATGCAGTTTGGCCCTGCACATTATGAGACTCTCCTACTATCCTACTGCCCTTATAAGCATGTCATGTCTTGTCCTAACTGGGCAGCTGGATCCCCAATACCCAGAACTCTTGCTTTCTAAAAGTAACCTCTACAAACAGGGCATAGTGATGTGCATCTATAGTCCCACCTACTTAGGAAGCTGAGACAAGATGATGGCTTAAACCCAGAAGTTTGTGACCAGCCTACGTAACATAGCAAGACCCTATCTTAAAAACAATATATACACAAAAACATGATCTCTTAGCTTTTCCATAGGAATGTCATTTGATAAAACACAAAGTATTGCAATCATGGAGAAGCTCGGTGAAAACAAGGACCCTCTGTTGTTAGCCAGGTCCCAATGCTGCCACCAAATGAGCATCTATGTTGCTCCGAATCAATGCTATTTCTCAACTTTTCACTGCAGGAATTCATGAAGTTATCAAATAATGCCATCTGTGATCTAGGCAATTACAGCATGACACATCCCCCCCACCCCAGAGCACACCTCACATCCTGGCCTGGGAGCTCCAAGGCCAGTGACCCTGTACAGAAATCTCACTGCCCCGCCCCTGGCCCAGAGCCTCTAGCTGACTTTCTTATCATCTGGTTTCAGAGGGCTGGAAGGCGGGTCAACCCAGCCAGGATTTGATGGGCACAGAGAAAAGTGTGTTTTACAAATCACACAGCACCGTATATATATTCTATAAGGATAAAGTCATGCTAGGGCCATTACTCAGATCCCTACCCCTTCCCCACCCCCTTTACTAGTTTTTGCTTTGGGACCAGATGCAACTTGGTTTTGATCTAAACTCCACTGACTGTGTGACCTCAGCCAGATTGTTCAACCTCTTAATGTTTCAGTTTCTTGCTTTGTAAATAGGAGATTAAAATAGTCTTGTCTTGTAGGGTTATGAACAGTTCCTGAATGCCAGGTGCCTCTTATCCCGATGCCAGACACCAAGTGGCAAATCCACAGCCCATCTTCACACTTCTGGCCTCTCTCCTTTCTGCTCCCTCTCCCCCAGTCACCTTTGGGCCTGGAGAAGTCCTCCTATCTTTCAAGGTCCACCCAGGATGCCACCTCTTTTAGGAAACATACCTTCCTCCCCGCTACAAGATAAGCCTCCCACTCGGACAGACCAGAGCTGCATTCTCTTCAGAAGATCTCTTGTGGGCTGGGGGTTTAGCTCAGTGGCGCTGCCGCCTGCCTTGCAAGCACAGGGTTCCAAGTCTGATACCTGCTACCAAAAAAACAAAATAAAACAAAAAACAAGAAGGTCTCTTGCTTTAGCTCAGCTGTCTTTAAGGGCAGGAATTATGTATCCATCTCTGGACCCCCAAGTTATGGTTCTGTGCTTGTAGGTACTCAATAAAAGCCGGTTAATTTAAGTAATGAATTAGCTGTGCTTATCAGTGAGGGGAAAACAAAACAGAAGCTTCCAACAGCCATGTAAGGCATACTGGGATTATGAGTCCCCTGGAGCAAAGGGAATGATGTTTAGAAAATTCTACTGCTATGATTTGCTATCCTACTGATTTAATTGGTCTGGCATGGGACCAAGGAATAAGTTGGATTCGTTGTTGTTTTTCAACTTCCAAGATGATGCTAATATACAGCCAGGTTTGAGAACTACTGCTCTACCAGCCTGCCTGGCATTGTGTCCTCAGAACTGGAAGAAGGAATAATACCTACCCACAGCTCAAGGGCCAGCGTGCACTTGAGGGAGGATGCTATCTGCAGAAGCTGGTCCCTAGAGTCTGATTTGAGCACCATGGGAAGAGCAAATGAGAGTAAGAAAAGAAGGCTGAACAGTCATGAGTGAGGAGGACAGATGCGGGGGTGTAAGACAGATCCCAAATCAAACCATCCAGAGTCAGCCCTCGCTTTCTCCTGGGAAGCCTTAGCCCCGCCTGCCTCTCTCCAAGCCTACATCTCCCCTCCCCGCTAGGGGAAGCCCTGTCTGAGCAGTTTGTGTCTATCTCCCAAGCCAGGCACCTGGGACCAGGTCATCCTAAGACTGGTTAGCACCACGGTAACGTGGAAAGTCTCACTCACAGAACGTTTTCATAAAGAAAAGCATTCTACCTTCCAACGGAAAAGGCTCGCCTACGAAAGCTCACAAACTGGGCCCAGGTAGCCTGCTTTGAGGAAGAGCAGAGTCCTGTGCAATTAGTGCACTGACGTTGTGTAAACAGCAGCCTCCTGGCCATTGGCAATAATTTCCCGTGCAATACTGTGATAACAGTGGCCTATGTTAGTTCCCCTGCACTTCTCTACCTAAACTTGGTCACATTCATTAATAACGAAAAGCCTGGTTTTACTAGCTTCAGAAATCACGCTCCACTCTAAGTCAGAGAGGTCTGAGCTCAGAGCTCAAACTGTATGTATTTGCATCCTACAGCTGTCCTAGCTCTTCCTGCCTCGGTTTCCTTTCAGGGATCATCTCCCAGATGACAGCTTCCTTCCTCTTGACAAATTCTATTGCCGTCCCCCTTCACAGATGGGAAAGTGGAGGCACAGAAAGCAGACAAAAATCACCTGTGGTGTAGGATTTGAACCCAGGGATCTGCCTGCGTATCTGCATCCATAATCATGAAGGTTTTAGTCATAGGCGGTAGAACCAGGGCTTGGTAATGGGGAGCTTTAAAATATTCAAAGTCTAGCTCAGCAATCTACTTGTAAACTAAGGACAATAATGCTGACTTCTCAGGTTCTTGTGGGCATGAAACAAGATGACACACGTAAAGCCCTTGGCACAGCACCCATGACCCGATAAGAACCTAGCAGAAGGCAGTGTTATCGCTGGCCTTGTTCCTGATGTTGTTTATGCTGCTTATGAAATGTCCCATTTTACAGGTGAGGAAACAAAGACCCAGTGGTGGGAGGGGCAAGGTGCCCTGTGGCCAGCTGATGAAGGACAGCCAGGTTACAGTCAGGCCACCTGCCTCCAGCAGCTAAGTTCCCAGCTACTCCTGTCACTCCCCTTGCAGACCACAAATCATCAGGAACAGTCTACCCCAAAACACACACACGTATGCGTGCACACAGGCACACATGCCACTAAAGAACATCCGAGCACCTGCTCTTGATGTACTTGTGCAGGTGACCATGGAAACTTGCCTTTTGTTTTGCTCCCCAGTTGACTAGTGAAGCTTTTCCACATGTCCCTTAAGTACCAAGCTAAGAAGTGAGCTCATGTGGCTGCCCCTTTAAATCTTGCCATCAAAACCATCTAGAGGAAGAGGGAGTGGGCTCCAGAGAGGTAGGCTTTTCTCCATCTAATTCTTTGAGGTGGTGAACAGGAACAGGAAGGGTATTTCCTTTTTTCCACTTCCCTAAAATATCCTCAGCAGCAGCTGCCAGAGAGCCTACAACATCAGGAAGCACAGCAAGAACCAAGGTCTCCTGTGACTCGGGCCCCATCCCTCCTCTTAAACCAACATTCGGTTTCTCTACCCGCTCTCTCTTTCCCTTTCTCTTTCAGGGCAGGACTGGATGCTAGACAACAAAAGCCCCGTGTGTAAGATTTGAACAAAAGAAATAAGACCACATTAGATTAGACCCCAAAGGATCAAAGAAATGTCTACAAATCCAGACTAAGGTAAATACAGATGCTTCTCAATTTATGATGGGATTGTGTCCCAAGAAAAGTTACTGTAAATTGAAACTATCGTGGCAAAGTGCATTTAATATACCTGCATCAGTTAGCATTCATCACTACCACAAGTACCTGACATGAGCCAACTATAAAGAGGAAAGGTCTATCTTGGCTTACACTTTCGGTGGTTCCACTCCATGATTGGCTGGCACTGTGGCTTTGGACCTGCAGTGAGGCAGCAAACCATGGTGGGAGCATTTGGCAGAGCAAAACCCCTCACCTCATAGCCAGGGAGCAAAAAAAAGAGAAAGAAGAAGGAGCTAGATCCCACTGTTGGGGCACATTTGCAGTGACATAAAGACCTCCCACAATGCCCTACGTCTTAGAGTCCACCACTCTCAGCAGCAACACCCTAGAAACCAAGCCTTTAATACACGGGACACTCAAGATCAAAACCTCACAACACCTAACTACAGAACACTATGGTTCAACCTAGACCACCTTGGAATACTTACATTAGTCTGTGTTTGAACAAAATCATCTCACATAAACTTATTTCATAATAAAGTGTTAAATATCCCATCATTTATTGAATATCTGTTTCCCCAAACGGCTGCCAAACAGTGCAGGGAAGAATATTGGTTGTGTGCCCTCACTGTTGGGTGGCTAACTGTAGTTATCATAGGCCAGAAAAAGATCAAAATTCAAAATCTGAAGTACAGTTTCTATTGAATAAATCTGGCTTTTGCACAATCCTGAAGTCAAAAAATTTTCTTCATACCATCACGAGTCAGAGATGACCTAGAAATAAGTATATTAATACATAAATGGGAAAAAGGCAAACTTCATCACAGGAGAATTCCAAATTGTTTGTGAAGATAATGCTCAAAGAGGTGGAGTATAATTCCCCACCCTTAAGTGTGGGCTGTGCAGAGTGGCTTCCTTCCAAAAAGTGAACGTAGGTAGGAAGAATAAAGACCAACTTCACAGAGAAGAACCCTGACAAACACTAGCTCAGCCAAGTGACCAAGGTCCCCATTGACAGTCATAAGTCGCGTCACAGAATAAGCCGTTGATATACTGGGAACAAAATGATCACTTATCTCTGAAGTCTTCCTCCCAGACACTTAGAAATGCAGAATAACCATAAAAAACTCTTAAGTGATATAAATAGGACACACGTGTAAATACTGAATAGTTTCTCCAGTGTGAGAAACTGAAAGTGTAAATAAGGACTAAAAGATATAATAGATAATGTGAAATAGGAAGAAAAGGTACAACGAGGAAGGGGAAACAGGAGAGATAGTGGAAAGGAAAGAAGGGAATGGAATCAATATGAGAAAATGAAAAATAAAGGGGAAAAAACATCAAACAAGTCCCAGTTGAGGGATTTCCTACATATACCTGACGAGTATTCTTCAAAACTATTAAGATCATCACAGAAAGGAAAGTCTAGCCCTAATGGCGGGAATATTGGTGTCCTTGGGCCCACCTCCCCTTCTGCCAATTCATGTGTGAAATCTTAATTTCCAGTAGTATGGCATTAGGAGGTGGGGATTTAGGAAGAAATTAGCTCATGAGGGTGGGGCCCTCACAAAGGTGATTAGTGCCATTATGAGTAGAGAACTAAGAGCTTGCTCTGGCTCTGTGCCCTCTACCACATGTGCATTCAATGAGACAACAGCTCTCTGCAACAAGGATGTGAGATCTCATCAGACACTGGGTCTATTAGCATGTTCCTCCTGGACTTCCCAGATCCAGATCTCCAGAAGCGTGAGAAATAAACATTCTCTAAATTATTCAGTGTATGGTATATTCGTTATAGCAGCCTAAGCTAACTAAGACGGAAATTTTCACAGCCAAGAGGACGCAAATTGAGGATATGAGTACTAAATATTCTGTTAGATCCCAGATGGGGTCCCAGAAAAGAAAAAGGACATTAGGAAAAAACTAAAACCGAATAAAGGATGGACTTCAGTTAATATTAATGTATCCAAACTGATTGTTTTGTGATGAAGTCACCATCCTAATGTTAGATGTAACAGGGAAAGTGGGTATAGGTTATGTGAGGTTATGTACCTCACTTTTCTACACACCTAAAATTATCTAAGATTAAATTTATTTTAAAAACAAAACTAAAAGGAAGAAGTAAAACTGTCATTATTTGCTGATATGATACTCTACACTGAAGATCCAAAAAACTCCCCCAAAAGACTTCTAAACTTAATTGACACTTTTAGCAGAGTAGCAGGATACAGGTCAACACACAAAAATCAATAGCCTTCTTGTACACAAATAACAAACTCACTGAGAGAGAAATTAGGGCAACAATTCCTTTCACAATAGCATCCAAAAAAATGAAGTATCTAGGAATCAACCTAACAAAAGAAGCAAAAGACCTGTGCACTGAAAACTACAGCACTCTGAAAAAAGAAATCAAAGAGGATATAAGAAAATGGAAAGATATCCCCTGCTCCTGGGTAGGAAGAATCAACATAGAGAAAATGGCCATACTACAAAAACTGCTGTACAGATTCAATGCAATGCCAATTGAAATTCCAACATTATATTTCACAGAACTAGAAAAAAGAAACCAAAAATTCATTTGGAACCATAAGAGACCTAGAATAGCAAAAGCCATCCTAGGCAACAGACATATGGCAGTGGATATAACAATTTCCAATTTGAAACTATACTACAACGCCACTGTGATAAAAACAGCATGGCACTGGCAAAGAAACAGACCTGAGGATCAATGAAATAGACTGGAAGACACAAAAACAACTCCAGATGTACTCAGCTACCTCATCTTTGACAAATGAGCTGACCATCCCCACTGGAGGAAAGATAGCCTCATTGATAAATGGTGTTGCAAAAACTGGATCTCAACCTGCCAAAGATTAAAACTAGACTCTTACCTTTCACCATGCACTAAATTAAAATCCAAGTGGATTAAAGAACTAAATATTAAAACAGAAACACTAAACTTGCTGGAAGATAAGTTAAGCAGAACTCTTGAATACACTGGCATAGGGAAAGACTTTATGAACAAATCCTTAGTAGCATAGGAACTAGCAGAAAGAATCAACAAGTGGGATCTCATCTTATTAAAAACTTCTGCACTGCAAACACTAAATTAAAATCCAAGTGGATTAAAGAACTAAATATTAAAACAGAAACACTAAACTTGCTGGAAGATAAGTTAAGCAGAACTCTTGAATACACTGGCATAGGGAAAGACTTTATGAACAAATCCTTAGTAGCATAGGAACTAGCAGAAAGAATCAACAAGTGGGATCTCATCTTATTAAAAACTTCTGCACTGCAAAAGAAACCATCAGCAGAGCTCTGAGACAACCTACAATGTGGGAAAAAAT